ACTCTTTCCAAAATTTTGAAAATTTTAAAATTACTTTGCCAAGTTTTTGGGCTATGAGTCCTTGGATTCCAAGGATATAAATGGACTATAATGGAGTACAAATTGTGGTACTTTGCTCCACGATTGAATCAAATGATAAAACAAACATGGGTTTTACGTTTGGGTTGAAATTCCGGTAAAGGGGATATTATTAACGTGGAGTCGAGTTGTGCGACTATTACGGGTGTTTTTGCGGGTTGACGGATGGATGGTTAATGATTAATAAATAACCCCAGTTTTAGGGGTGTCACATTAGCTCCCTTTTTAGAGCTTCATGAGCAATCCTCTCCTCCTTAATGGACGAGTTTAGCTGGCTAAACTGAACAACTCTTAAAAAAAGGCACATAGAAGCAGCAGAAACCTAAAAAAGATAAAGGAAGGTTAGCACCATAAAAGAGGCACAAAGGCAAGGAAGAGAATAGACACTTACCTAAGCCAACCCTTCTAGGACGGTGTCAATAATGTCCTTAGTGCCTCAAGCACCAACCTGCCCAATCTCTACAGGGAACACAAATCTCCCAAGTCGTTCCCTAACAATCTGCATGTCATCTAGCATGGACGCAATCTAAGAGCATACCTTTGCAAAAGTCCCAGTCGGAGAATTGGATGTATGGGGAGCAGAAGGCATGGTCGCCTGGGGAGCCTCTAGAAGGGCAGTCACCTCTAAAGTAGTGGCTGGAGGAACCTCTAGAGGAATCATTAAAGAAGCTATCTGGGGTGGAGCTAATGGAAGGTCATCTAAGAAGGGCCCGATAGAACGTCATCCACCTTGGCCATCTTGGGTGGAGGAGTTTTCTTAGTGGAAAAGTAGGACTCTACCACTATCCTATCCACTACAGAAGGGTAAAGTGTTATCCTAATAAAAAAAGAGAGAAAAAAATTTGAAGGAAGCCATCATACATTTTCTCTTTGACTTTGGAAGAAGACACACAACCCTTAGCATCACCAAAAAGAGGGTCCCTAGCCTCATCCTCTTTAGGCATAAGGGTCTCATAGTCCCTTACAGGACAAGCCCTTGATTAGTAGTTAAAATTAGCATATTACTATGCTCTTTTAAGACTAATTATACTTTGATGGAGTTTAAATGATGACATTTCAGGTCATAAATTGTACAAGGGACTAAAGGCAATGAGTATCAAACTTTCATGCAACACCAGCATATTTTGGAGAAAAATTGAAAAAGGTTGGACCAAGCCAAGAATGTTCGAACGCCAACTCATGTTCAAATGTCCACTTGAATTGATTGAAGACCAGATTGCTGAGACATGACATGTTGCAACCAAGAAGACAGTCTCTGAGGTACTTGAGTACCAAGTTCGAACATCAACTCACATTCGAACGTCCACTTGAATTGATTGAAGACTAGACTGCTGAGGCAAAGAACACTCTGAGGTACTTGAGTACCACGTTCAAATGCCAACTCAAGTTCGAAATGTCCACTTGAATTGATTGAAGACCAAACAAATGAGTGCAAAGCGCCAAGATATGCATGGAGTGTGGAAATAGGTTTTCACAGAAGACCACATGCCACTTGAGTGAGAAGGTCAGGCCTCATCTGGCGTTTGAATGACCATAAAACAAAGACAGAAGAAATGTTCGAACACCATACAATGTTCGAACACCCATAAAGGAAAAACAGAGAGAACGTTCGAATGCCAACTCATGTTCGAATGTTCTCCATAGGCAGGCTGCAGAGTAGTTGACTTTTCACTTAGACTTGGGTGGCATACACTATTTCTTCACACTCTCTTGTCTCCCCCTTTCTTCCTTGCCTATAAATACTCCCTTTGGAGGAGCCTTTAAAAAAATGAGAATGATTTTTGTAGAAGACTAGAACTTGATTTGTAAGGTTTAGACTACACCAAGAACTAGTAGAGAGGTAGATGGAGGCTTAGACTCCCATTCATGTAGCTAGATGTATGTTATATTTGCTTGTATCAAGGGAGTTAGTTCATCTTTTGGTTGAGGAAGCAACCCTTTAAAAGTGACTAGTTTTATTCTATTTTCATTGTTTATGTCTTTCACTTTCATTGCTTGAGCTTCCTTCTTTCTTAGAAGGGTGAAACTCTTCCAATTTTCTAGAGGCTTACCACAGTCGTGAAGGGTGGAACGTGATTCACTTATTCTTTGTTAAAGATCGGTTCTTTGTTTAATGTGTTTCACTTTGTAACTCCTCTATTTTGAGGGATAAGTATCACTCACTTGTACAAACACTTGCTTGTTTGTAGACGGGTTGAGTCTCAGCACAGACAATTCTTGTAAACCTCTAGAAAGGCATCAGAACTATGTCCTTAATTCTCACAGTCCATCTTTATCTTCTAATTAATTTGTTATTGACACGAGAGTTAATTGAGTTATAAAACACAAGTATAATAAACTAGATAATTAATTACATGTTCTGATCCTCGAACTAAAGAGTGACTGTTACCTTTGATAATTTATCTTATATTTTGTCTAAAAAAAAATCAATTGGAAAGAATCTTATATTCTATCCAGCAAACCCCATAGCTTCAAACTCTCAAGGTTTTCAGTTACTTGGTCTGTGTCACTTCTAACTTCAAAACACCAATCATAGTTCTCAGTAGATTCGACTCTAGACTTAACCGGATTATTACTATAGCTTGATCGCTTGCACTTGGGTGTACACATTTCAGATCAAGTCAGCCCTCATAGCCTAAAGCTTCCATTCCTGATCCTCTAAGAGCATCGGAGATCTTAGAAAAAAAGTGGTTAATATCCAAAAAAGAGAGAGAGAAAAAGAGTCTGTACCTATCTTCTTTGGAATGCCCCACGTCATTGGTACTAGAGCCATATCCACCTCTAAAGCCCACTCTCCTCCTACAAACAAGAAGTGATCCTTTCAGCTATGGTAGTTGGATCGCAACCCAACAATTAATTTCCCTCCCCTCAGAGTGAAGTAATACTAGCTGCGGTTGGGAGCAGGATTTTCACTCAAAATATAGGCAGCAAAAAACTCTTTAGGGGGACATCCTCATAATGCACCCTCCTCCATAGTGCAAGAAATTCCAGGAAAACTCTCTAACCATTGGACAAAAAATACCCCAATGTGAGTGAAAAATAATGATGGATTGGGCAAACGGGAGGAGGTACGTGAAACCTTAACCCCGCCTCAAGTACCTCCTCATAAATAACAATGTCCCCTAAGGAATCATCAGAGGCTGGCTCACCCATCTCAGCTCGACAACACAACACTGTAGGAGGAATGCAAAAGGTAGATATAATCCTAGCAATCTCAGCATCAGTGTTAAGGGAGCTAGAGATAGTGCTCACCTTAGTGCCATCATCAGTAGACACTTTACCACAATACTTGCGTCGTCGTGGAGGAGGAGGAGCACTACCATCACCATCTCTCGCCACCTATCCAATCCTTGTCTTTTCATGTAGCTCATTCCTCACACCTAGCCTGAATGCTTGTGTCATGGCACCTGCCACTTGCGCCTAAACTCCTGTGCCCGCTCTTGTACTTGCACCTTCCCATGTGCCAATGCTAATCACGGCGCCCTAGGTGCCCACAACTGCCTCCCGGCCAGCTCCTGCACCCTGGCCAATGCCTGTGACACCGACGCCCATACCAGCCTTGCCTGTGTTTACTTCACTTACACCACATTTGTCCTCCATCACCTTTAGTCTAACCCTCTCATGGAAATAAACAAAAGGGAAAGAGGAGGTACCTACTTACAGCCCAACCTTGGGAGTTACCTGGTAAGATTGACGTTCAAATATCCTAATTGGAGTAGGATTGACATTAAGGAGCTCCCATTCACTTTGACAATTATCTAATTGGATTGACATTCAAGTATCCTAATTAGAGTAGGAATGACACTGATGAACTCCCATTCACTTTGGCAGTTACCTAATTGGATTGACATTCAATTATTCTAGTTAGAGTAGGATTGACCTTGAGTGGTTCCCATGAGGATAAACCATACAAAAAAGGAAAAAATAAGCCTAAAAAAAGAAAGTCCTTGTTAAGGAAAAGAGTTCATCCGCAATTGGACTAGTTAATGCCCTCTCTCCCAAATCATTGGGCTCGGGGCATAGGGGTAAATGATGGGTCTGACCCCAAGGGCCAACTCAGATAACGGTCCTGGCCCATATTAGGCCCAACTCAGATAGTGGGCCAGCCCCATTGGGTCTGGTCTAGAAGAGACCTAGATCTATTCAGACTCACTAAATCCTAGAGAGCCACGCTATCCTAAAGTTAAGGAGTCAACAACACCATCAAAAAGTCTCATCCACGCTATCCTAGAGTGAGGAAGTCTGCCACGCCATCCTAGGACCAGGTCTTAAGGAGATTTCCATGCCTTCTCTGCAACTGCCTCATTTGTTGCATGGATGACGCCTACTTTACCAAATCCATTTTTTGTTACTGATAAGACATCTTAATCTGTTAAGAGACACTTATAAATTATAAGTCTCGCCTACACATGGGGGCATCTCTCACATCTTGTATCTCACATATCATTCACATCTTGAGTATCTAACACTCCTTAAAGTAATAAAACACTCGGGCAATGCTAACCCTTCGTAGTGAAGTAGGTCACCTTAACCGAACCATTTAAATTATATTTTGCTTGTGTTGCTTCTCTATATTCATTTATTACATTTATTACTTGACAAGTGGTATATAAAATTAATTTATGGATCATCAATTACCAAACACAACCTAAGATTGAACTAAGAAACAAAAAAGAACACTTTAAATGTTTGTAATGCCTTAAAAGTATTCTGTTAGAATTTAATGACTTAAAAAGACTATCTGAATGGATTTTTGACCAATATTTACTAAAAAAAATCAAAAACTATTTTAGTTTTTGATTTTTTTGAAGACAAAACCGAAAATTGAAAACTTCACCGAGCGCCAACTTCGCATTCATAAAATCGTTCAATGGCAAATCTCACTTAATTCACTGCCCATTCCACTACACCATCAGCACCCCATGCTGCCGAACCCCCGCCCACGGCGGCGAACCCGTCACGGCGCCCAATTATGTGCCATATCCGCCGCCCTTCTCCTCCTCATCTCCGTCTCTCTCCTTCACAGCCGTCTAGGTTTCGACCGCCACTCTCAACACCCTCTTCCCATCAACGAAGTCGTTTCCAACTCTGATCTCCTCCTCGAAGACACCGATCCGGAGGACCGTAACTCCAACACCAATTCCGACGATCGAATCGACGAGCTCGACGACGTCGTTTTGAACTCCTCCAATTCCAATTCCAATTTGGAAGTGGACGAGGAATTTCCCACAGGGGCAGATGCGGAAGAAGAAGAAGAAATCAATCAATCTAGGGTTTCAGGTTTTTTCTATGATCACATAAATGGCGTCGTTCGTAGAGCTATAAATAAGCGAAATATAGATGAATGGGAGGATTATGTTAACTTTGATTCAAATTCATTGAGGCTAGGCTTAGGGTTAGAAAGTGGAAATGAAAATGAAAATGAAAAATCTGAGGGCGTATTTGGATCAGACGATACTCCGGTGGATGAAAGTATAAGAAATAAAGTAGGGGAAGTGAAGAGTATTGAGGATGTGCTTTTGTTGAAAGTGGGGTCGAAAGTTTCGCCGTTGAGAGAAGGGTGGGGGGAGTGGTTTGATAAGAAGAGTGATTTTCTGAGAAGGGATAGGATGTTTAAGTCAAATTTGGAGCATTTGAATCCGCTGAATTATCCAATGTTGCAAGACCCGGACGGTAGTGGAGTGACTAGGTTCACGAGGGGCGATAGGCTTGTGCAGAAGGGGTTGTTGAACGAGTTCAAGAAAGTGCCATTTCTTGGGAAGAAGACATTGGGGATTGTGGAGGAGGCTCATGAATCAAAAACGGAATGGCTGTTTAAATCTAAGTCTGAATTGGTGGAAGATGGAGTGGGCAAGGTGATCAAGGAGGAAAAAAATAGGAATAATGTGAATGTGAAGGGTAAGGAGATTGAGGGTGCAGATGAAAGGAGGAGTGGAATGAAGATGGCGGAGGGTAGAGCTTTGGATGATAATGATAATAGTGGTTTGTCTACTATAAGAATTATCGATTCTGATAAGGTTTTGAATGTAACTAGAGTTGCAAATTTTTCTTTCAGGAGTGATAGGAGTGATGGAATTCAAAAGCAAAATGCGGGGGCCCATGTTAGGATAAAGTCTGAGTTTTCTGGTCAAGTGTATGCTGATGGGAAGAGATGGGGTTATTATCCTGGTTTGCATGCTCATCTGTCTTTTTCAAACTTTATGGACGCATTCTTTAGGAAGGGCAAGTGTTCAATGAGGGTTTTTATGATGTGGAATTCACCACCATGGACCTTTAGTGTTCGGTATCAAAGGGGTCTTGAGAGCCTTCTCTTCCACCATCGAGATGCTTGTGTAGTTGTATTTTCTGAAGCAATAGAACTTAATTTCTTCAATGGTTTCGTCAAGGACGGGTGATTCCCTAATTATAATTTTTTAGCTACTATGTACGATTAACAGTGTTTTTAATCATTACATCTGTCTTCAGATTTAAGAAGTTGCTTGTGTCAGACTGTTTAGCATGGTCACTCTCATTCTGTGACAATTTTGGGCATTTCTTGGTGCATGTCATTTCATGATGATATGAGATAAAAATTGAAGGAGATGACTCCTTGTTTATTGCCTGTTTACCAGTTTCAAGGTGGCTGTTGCAATGCCGAATCTTGAAGAGCTGCTGAAAGATACGCCTACCCATATTTTTGCTTCTGTGTGGTTTGAATGGAAGAAAACAAAATTTTATCCTACTCACTACAGTGAACTAGTTCGACTTGCTGCTCTCTACAAGTAAGCAATCTACTCCTTGTTACATATCTTTATGCCTACAGCATATAGTAATAGTGCTTTCATCTCAGGCTGTTAAACATTTCACAGTCTGGGTTACTTAAACTCCATTGTTAATAGATATTGAAAGATTGTAGGAAAATGCATTATACCCAGGAAAGAAGCACATCAATATTCAATTAGCACGTGTCTAAAATGGAATGATGAAAGATGCACGGAGAAAAAGATACTGCACAAGTCATGGAATATGGGAGTTAAATGAAAATTTTGGCAGATAAGTACAAATATAAAATACATATTAATTGACTATGTGTATTTAAATTTATAATTATATAGTATTTTAGATAATAGAAAATTGAGCTCAAATGTAAGATAAATAGTAACTGACTTATTGATTATAAATGTTCAATGATATATAATGTTGTATAGTAGTAAAAACGATCTAAATAAGAGTTTCAAAATGAATTGCGACCCAAAAAACCATTCGAGTTAAGTCCACCCCTATCGTACTGTGTACCTAAGAAAGTGTTATACCCGTACCACGTATTAAAACAATTCACTATCAAAGTAACATTGGATTAGACCAATAAAACCAATTACATGCCTAATATTGTCAAAAAATAAAAGGTGCAGAAAATTTGTCATCCTCATTAATGTCAAGTTTACCAGATAATCTAGTAGCATCCGCAACCCCCTCACTTATGTCCTTCTAAACGTTGACTTAGTAGATTATTGAAGTTGTAAAGATGGTATTAGAATTTGTAAGGAGGAAGAAGAATAAGAGAGGTAAGAAAAAGAGAGAGAGAATAATCTAATTGTAGGCTATGTTTTCCTACACCCTCTTATTTATATTGAACAATATCTTGGGTCAGTCTCTATCCAATCGCCTAATAAGCAAAATGGAAGAGAAATGAGTGGCTGGGGGCAAAAGGGTGATGTAGGACAGTAGTATAAAATCAAAATTTGTATTGTTTAGGGGCTGTGAACAATACCCATGAATAGTAATAGAGCTGTGTACGGTGACTTGAATAGTAATATTGGCTAGGAATCACTTATTTAATTTGAGTCAATTTGCTAGTATTAATATTTTATATGCTCTTTGAATAGTTTTTAGACTCTTGAGTATTTTTTGTAATTTCTAAAATTTTGGAAATTTTTTACGATACGTTTTTACGATACGACCGATTCGCGCAAAACCTATTTTTTTTTTTTCTGAAACGACGTCGTTTTGTCTAAATAAGACACTAATTTTTTTTTTTTTGTATAAAAATTTCTGAATCTTGATTAATTTTATGGATTGAGTTCAAAATGGATGTTAGAAATTTGGATTAAAAGTCTTTTTGGGGTTTGAAGTTTGAATTAGTGAACTATGGTTGTAAACTTTGCATTATAATATTAGTGAACTATGTTGATGACTTGAATAGGTGGTGAAGTATGAATGAAATGCTATATTTTTATGAGTGTATGATTTTTTTTCAAAGGTATATATATTTTTTTATTATTTATTTAAAATTGCACCATATCTTACAATACACGATACGATACACAGTACGATACACTATTTTTAAAAAACGATATGCCTTCTGATACAGGATTTGATAACTATGGTTTAAATATCTTCAGTTGGGAAATGGGCCACGCAAAGAAGCCCTTGGTTAAGCCCATTTTATCATCTTTTCTTTGGTGCTGATAGAAGCTGTTCTGGCCCAATAAACTAATGGAAAAACCGCTCAATAAGCTCGAGTCCAAATAGACCAGACTTCTTTTCCTTTGAATCCAATAAAAGCTAAAGTTTTTAGCCCCCCAAACAGGCCCATAATGACTGAAAAACACGGTTCAAAGTCGCGACATCAACTCCAAAAACACTAGATAGAATATAAACATTAAAAAAAAAATAGATAGAAGCTCCAAAAAACATATAAAAAAATCATGAAAATTTTTAAAAAATATAAACATCATTATCCATGTATTATATGTCCACAATACATATAAAAACACATTAAACATAATTAAATTGAAAATATAAGGAAGTTATCAAACATAATTATCATTATTAGTGTTCAATTTAAGTATTTAAGAACATGTTAATATTTTGACATTTAGTTAATATTTTGAGCTTAAAAAAATTGATATATTTATTATTTAATGGTCCATAAAAGAGTAAATTTTACATCAAGCAAACTTGGGTAAAAGTGTACCCAAAAACTATTACCTACAAATAAAAAAAATTTATCATTTTAAAAGAAATCTGCCCTTATAAAAAAATCTGCCTATTTTTATCCGTTTGGACATTCCTGAAAAAGTCTACCCAAAAACATTACCCACATAATCACTATAGCATGGACTGAACAATGGTGTCTTTTTACCGTAGCAATTGATTTATTGGTTGATCACTAACACCATGTATGTGTGTTTGTTTTTTGAGCTATCCAGATACGGTGGAATCTATCTTGATTTTGACATAGTAGTGTTGAAACCATTATCTTCACTGAATAATACTATTGGCTTGGAGGATGTACTAGCCAGAAGCCCAATGAATGGCGCTGTGATGGCATTTAGAAAGCACAGGTACATCAAGAACTTTGTCTGACTTGATTTTATTTGGTATTTTTGTTGTTCTTGTCATTGTGGTCTTCTTCTTTAATACTGTTGAGAGTAATAGTGAAGCATAATAGTTTGTAGTCTTTTTTTGCTTTTGCATATGCATATGCAAAATCTTGCACGCTATGATTGGATTACTCAAAGTTCTCATAAGGATTGCCAATGGGCCAATCTAGGCTATAGACTTGTGACTGAGTTTGGCCCAACCTGGTTCTAGAAGGGTGGCCTAGGTGGTCCTTTAGCGGGATATTTAGCAGGTGGTCCTCTAGGCCCTTTAACTCTCTTTGACGCTTTTTTCTTATTTCACTTGCTTATATATGCTAATTTTCCTAAAGTGAATTTTCAACCGAGTTTAATTCAAACCCTTTCTACTCCTCTTTGCTTGCTGCACTCTAATAGCTAATTGGCAAAATACCTTGTGCATGAATAAGCTTTGGGGCTGATGACTTTCCTTGGGCGTTTGCAAGTGTGCTAGATCATCAATTAATGTCCTTTTTGGTTGAATCAATAGTATAAGATATCCCATGTGAAAAAATTGGTATAAGAAAGAAGAGCAAAACGAGAAAGAAAAAAATATTATTATTGTTAAACAAGTCTGTAATATAACTTAGCTTAAAATACACAATGTAGACCATTGTATAGTATGACAACAAAGAATAAAGTAAATGCCCAAACTACCCTTAATATTAATACTCTATCATCTCCACTCAAACTCATGATGTGGTGAAATATCAAGAGTTTGCCAAGAAGAAATCAAAAGTGTGCTATGGTGTGAGATTTTGTAAAAAAATTCGTTATCTGCATGTTGGTAGGGAGAAAAGATAGAGTAATAGTGTTCAACTGAAGATGGTGACGCACAAAGTGGCTATCAATTTTAATGTACTTTGTGTGCTTATGGAAGATTGAATTGTGAACAATTTGTATAACACTTGTGTTGTCGTAATACATAAGAGGAGAAGAAGATAGAGAAATACCAAGATTAGCAAGTAGCCATCCCAACCAAATTATTTCTACTATGGTAGATGCCATAGCACAGTATTTAGCTTCAGCAGAAGAACAAACGACAATAATTTGTTTCTTATTTTTTCAAGAAATAAGAGAATCTCCAAGAAAAAGTTTTGACACTAGTGGTGGACTTGTGATGATAGAGTCACCAACCCGGTCAGCATTTGTGTAAGTCCTAAGTTCTATAGAGGAGGAGTGAGAAAATAGTAAACTTTAATGTAGAGTACCACGAAAATACCAAAGAATTCGGAGAATAGCAGTCTAGTGAATAGTGGTAGGTAAGACAACAAACTAACTCATAATATGAACTACATAAGAGATATCTGAGTGAGCAACAATAAGATATGTTAGACTTTCAACAATCTTGCGATAGAGGGTAGGACCAGGAAGAGAAGTATCATCAGATGAAGAATAATGAACAGTGAGCTTTAAGGGTATTTCAGTTGTTCAATTATCTGATAAACGAGTTCGCTGAATAACATTTGATCCATATTTGGATTGAGAAAGAAGATAAACTTTTGGGAGAGAAGTAACTTCAATCCTTAAGAAATATCGAAGTTGATCATTGACATGAAAACCCAAATCACAAATGACTGAGGAGAACTTGACAAACAATACCCTAGTAGCCTATTAAGTTCATATAATGCTTTGTGAAGTTTGCATATTTGACCAAGGCTATGAGACAATCCCGGTGTAGTCGTCATAAAAACCTCCTCAGATAAGTCTCCATGAAGAAAAATATTTTTCACATCATGCAGAGACAAGTGTCATTGACAAATGGTAGCTACAATAATAATATTATGAATGGTGGTTATTTTGGCAATAGGGGCAAAAGTCTCATCGTAGTCTACTAACCGAGCCTTGTGTCTTTCTACAGTACCATTTGATTTGGTTTTGATTTTATAAACCCACTTACAACGAATGATGCGTTCGCTAGGAGGTAAACGAACTAACTTCCATGCCCGGGTCTTATGTAAGGTAGATAACTCCTTATCTATAGCCTGTTCCAAACGGGATTAAAAATAGCCTCTTTATTGGAGGTGAGCTCAAACAAAGAGTGAATATAAGTGAGAAATGCACAAAAATTAGAAGAATAACAAGTGTTGGAAAAATCAAACCCATCTGGACATTTTTGAGATCGCTGAGGATAGCGCGAAGTATGATTCATAATTTAAGAACCTGATTGAGTGATATAAGTAGAAGAGGGAGACACTGCATTCATAGAAGGGACAACAAGAGTTCTGTGAACATAAGTATGCATAGTAGGGGAACGTATAACTGACAAATTACCATCAAAAAAAGAAGATGGCAAATCACTAACATATGTATCCTTGGGAACATAAACAGGGAAGGGATCAATGTAAATGAAATTAGATTTTAGAATAGATGAAGAACAAGAGGGAATCAAAAAGAAAAGAATATGTTTCATAAAAATAACATTCCAAGAGAAATAAATTTTGTGGTTAACTGGAACATAGGAATGATACCATTTTTTATTTTCACCATAACTAATAAATACACATAAGGTTGATCGAGCCAAAAACTTAGTACATAGAATATTGGGAAGCAAAGCAAAGCAAGTATAACCAAAGACATGTAAGGAGAAGTAATTAGGGGCTTACCATACAACTTTTCAAATGGAGAAACACTAGAAGTAAGAATAGTGGGAATGCAATTAATCAAATGAACTGCAGTAAATACTGCTTTCCCCCAAAAAATACTTGGGACATTTGCCAACAACAAGAGAGAGCGTGCTGTCTTCATAATATGTCGGTGTTTGCGATCTACTATATCGTTCAATTCATGAGTGTCAGTATAAGAAGATTGACAAACAGTACCATCAGATTTTAGCAAATCACGAAAAGAATATTCTCCTCCTTAATCACATCGAAAGCATTTGATAATAGAGGAATATTAAGTACGTATTATAGTACGAAATGCATTGAATATAGAAAAGTATTCAGAACGATGTATCATTAGATAGACCCAACAATACCTTGTATAGTCATGAATGAAAGAAACATAATATTTTGACTCTCCTTTAATGGGAATACGAGCAGGTCCCCATACGTCTGAATGGAACAGATTAAAAGGTGCAAGAGAACTAGTCAAACTTTTCTTAAAGGGTGATGCATGGAATTTGGCTAACTTGGACCCACTACAACTGGAAATGTCATGACACTCTAAATTATTCAAACAACTAGTAGAGGTTAAAAATTTTAGATGTGAATGAAAAATATGATAGAGATGAGAATGTCGCAAATAAAAGTTAGAAGATTGTGGACCCAAATGAAAAAAAGACATATCAATAGAACAATCAACAATATCTGAAATATGTAACTCGTTCAACACATAAAACCCACCTTTTTTATTGCTTGTCCCTATCAACTTCTTGGAACGTAGATCCTATACAACACAATCAGAGGAAGAAAAATGAATTGAAAATCTATAGTTAAATAGCTGACTAACTGAAATCAAATTCATGTTAACCTATGGAATATAAAAAACATCAAGAAATGTTAGTTGTGATGAAACAATATACCCAACACTGACCAATGTCTTTTGAGTACTATTAGTTGCAAGCACCGATATAGATGGAGGACCCGAAGTGAATGAACCTATGAAAGGAGAGACTGAGAAAGTATTAGGTTGGAGAAGCATCTACAACTAATCAACAATCATAGTTTGAAGAAAGTCGGTGTTTCCACTAGCCATAATTGCAATTAACCCAAAACTACAACCCAAAGCTACAAAACCCAATTTAAGGGCCACCAAAATCCAAAAAGATCAAAGTCCACAAGCGAAGACTAGTCCAAACTACCAGCCAAGGCAACTAGCAACCACACTAACAATGAAGTCCAATGCCAAATTTAAGGCCAATAATCAACAACCAAACAATAATGAACCCAATATTCAGTTGGCCCAATGATACCCAAATGTGATCAAAAGCCAAAACAGAAGTAGAATGACGAAGCAATAACTTTATAACGAAGAAATAGAGCAAACCAACAACAAAAATCCAGCAAAGTAACAACAATGTTTGAGACCAACAAAGCATACAACAATCATATTATTTGAGGCCAAACAAACTAAAGTTTGTCACAAATCAACTCAATAACTTTGCAAATCAAATACCTACAAACAATTAAAGTTTTTTACACAAAAACTACAACAAAATGACACTAACTATTGAATTTTGGTACTATTCACACTGTGAATAGTAACATCGGCAGTGTTCACCACATCAACAATAACTCCGGGTATTATTCATAGACTTTAGAACCACAAAAAATCAGCAAACTATGAGCCACTAGTGCTCAAATCACACAACCAAGCACCAAGGACATCTAGTTGCACCACTTAGGCTTGGTTTGAAGTAAAGAAATCAAAGAAAATAACAAAAATTGCCTAATCCAACGCTGAACAAAGAAAATGAGAATATATTTTTTCTCCAACTAAATTACTGTGGTGCTACAATATGTTTTGGATTGAAATTATGCTCCGATACCATGAAAATTTTGGTCAAAGAAAGAAGATCAAAAAGAGAAAGAGAAAATATTATTATTGCTAAACAAGTCTGTAATACAACTTAACCTAAAATACACAATGTAGACCTTTATATAGTAGGGCAACAAAAATAAATGCCCACACTACCCTTAATATTAATACTCTAACACCATGCACACGCACATTAGAAAAAGATGCCCCGAATGCCTTGTTTTCAGGAATTCACTAAGCTATATATTATTATGTAGTTTGTAATTTGGGAACTTTTCTATTGCCATCATCAATTGTGAACTGGACAGAAAGAAGCATGTTATATGTGTGTACGTGGTTGTTTCATACATATATTGTTAGTCTTCTATTTTGTAGCTGAATTCAGTCCACCAATCTATGCAGTCCCTTCATAATGGAGTGTTTGATGGAGTTTTATGCAACATATGATGATACCCGGTTGAGGTGGAATGGAGCTGATCTTTTGAC